GCGCTGGGTGGTGGTGGCACACGCCTTTAATTCCAGCACTCGGGAGGTAGAGGCAGGAGGATCTCTGTGAGTTCAAGGCCAGCCTGGTCTACAGAGTGAGTTCCAGGAGAGCCAGGACTGTTTTCACAGAGAAACCCTGTCTCAAAAAACCAAAGTAAACAAACAAATAAACAAATAAATAAATAAACAAATAAATTCCTACAAGTGACAGCAATGAGGCTAGAGCAGTGGTTCTCAACCTGTGCATCACGACCCCTTCAGGGCTTACATATTAGATACTTACATTATGATCCATAATAGTAGAAAAATTGCAGTTATAAAGTAGCTATAAAATAATTTTGTGGTTGGGGGTCAACACAACATGAAGAATTGTATTAAGGAGTCGCAGCATTAGGAAGACTGAGAACCACTGGGCTAGAGGGTTGAAGTTTGTCTATGCACATTTCCAAGGCTTTTAGAGACACATTACCAAACAGTCCTCCAGGAGGACTTCCCTCACCACTGTTGGGAGGAAGGGAATATTGTGTATTCTGTCCTTTTCAGAAGGCAGGGAGCTACTCAAAATTTTTGTGTCATCTTAGTATACTAATTTTATTTATTTGTTGGTTTTTAATATAGAAACTTATCTAGGTACATGTACACACATCTGTGTGACTCTCTCTCTCTCTCTCTCTCTCTCTCTCTCTCTCTCTCTCTCTCTCTATGTGTGCGTGTGTGTGTGTGTGTGTGTGTGTGTGTGTGTGTGTGTGTGTGTGTGTGGCTGCTGTGAAGGCCAGAGGAGGATCCCTTGGAATTGGCAAAACAGGTGTTTGTGAGCTACTCAATGTGGGCATTGGGATTTGAACTCCAGTTCCTAATGACTGAAAAGCAACCTCTCTTAGCTCCTGATCCATCTCTCTAGCCCACTAATTTTCATTTATTTTATGTGACTAGATTTCACGAATGGTATTCAATGTGTTTTAGCATTGAAACAGTTATCGGTGGTGCTTTGTGTAAAGCTCCCACCTCTTTTGTTGAGTGAGTTGTGGGCAATGATTCTCATGAGTCATGAGAAGAGAGTTCTGGGATTTCACAGGTCCTGTGAAGCTTGAGGGTAACCCAAGGGCAAATAGCCCCTGGGAGAGAGGTTGAGGAGCCAGAGAAGGGAGAGGCAATGGGCATTGTTATCCAGTCACACTCCAAGGACTGCTGTCTGCCCGGGCTTGACTGCTTCAGAAGATCTGGGCTGACCATTGAGGCTGGAACTTTGGGCCACTCCAAAGGGATCAAGGAGCCATACCTGAACTTCAAATGCTATCCGAGGTATTGGTCGAATACTTCTTAGTGGCTGTCTCTGCCATTTAAATTGTCCAAAACTAGATCTTTTCCTTCCTGTTACAGTACTGGGAATGGGATCCCAGATCTTGCACATGCTAGGCAAGTGCGAGATCTTTGCCCTACACTCTGCCCCGCACCCCACCATGTGAATATATGGCAGAATATGCACAGCATGAAATTTGATGTCTTAATCCTTACCAAGTGTGCACTTGAGTAGCATCAAGGACATTCATGTTGTGCGGACATCACCATTCATCCCTGAAGTTTTTGTTTCCCAAAACACCAGCTTCCTATTCCCAAGCCCACTTAGCCCCTGGCAATCCCCACTCTGCTTCTTGTCATGTAGCTAACATGAATGGGGTCAGGTGGCATCCATCCTCTGGGGCTGGCTTATTTCATTTAGCGGGGTGCCCGACTTAATCCAAGTTGTAACTTGTCAGGATTCCCATTGCTTGTCAGGTTGAATCATTCCCATTTATTCTTCGGGTCCCTTTAGGGGTGGTGTGGGGCTTTGGAGTTCATGGAAGTACCTGTACTGTCCTGGGAACCGACTCTCGGATCTGAGAACTCAGCTAGATGGCCTTGCACATGGTAGCCAGGGGTTCTGTGGACCTTCAGCATGTCTACACCCATGGTTCTCAGGTGTGCACAGGAGATCAGGAGGGCTGCTAACCTTGGTGGGTGAGGAGGCATTGTTGCATTCCTCTAAGCTCTATCAGAAGCCAAGTCCATGTCTTGAGATTCCCATGGCTCTGCTCCTTTGTGGGGTAATAGTTGGATTTGTTATACAAAACAAAACAACAAAACAAAACAAAACAAAACAAAACAAAACAAAACAAAACAGGCCCAAATTGGCAAAAGAGTAACCAAACAGAGAAATACCTGTTAACAGGTGTTTTGGTTTGGATCTAATGCCCCCCCAACGGCTTATGTGTTGAAGTTTGGTTCCTAGCCATAGTGCAATTGGGAGCGGGTGGAACTTTAGAAGAAAGGCCTTGCCAAAGGGAAGTTATTGATACAGATGCCTGATAGCTTGC